TTCGAGAAGTTGTTGATTATGTAATTGCCAGAGAGTTCTTCGTCTTCTTGTAAGTGTTATTGAAGCGTTTGGCCTAGTAGATTGTATATCAGTATACCCTTCCAGGCTCTGAAGAAGGCGATACTGCCGAAACGTCAGCTAGCGTTGTATTGTATTGTGTTTTTATGGAAGTAAATGTATGCTGTTTAAAAACCTCGCGATTGCTGAGCAAGAAAACGACACATTCATATTCCAATGCCGAGGTTAAGAGAAAGTCGATCTTGGGAACTATTATTTTCTACCTTTTTCGAAAGAGTCTAAGCCTCCTATGCGCTTCATATTGGTAACTTTTGCAGTTCACGAAAGAACTAGACTGCTCCACTCAATGCCGAGAAATCTACTCTATTACTAAGCGAGTTGACCAGCGAATGCCATACGGTGTCTGAGATGATTCTAGAGCAGATATCAAAATAATGCCTTAAAAATGGTATATGGCCCGGGACAGAAAGACAAAGCCGTAAATATCTTGACGGAGAAGTCATCTAATCAACAAACTTCCTCCACACTGTAGTTCTGAATTATCAGAGATAATGCAGACACGGTTTGATAAGCAAGACCGTTATTGCTGGCCTCAATCCCTCATTTTTAGAGATAAGCTCTCTCCAATTCATTGGTCAGTGAACTACACGTACGAAGAGTCACGAACCGGAAAACTAAGTGGAAACCAGCTTGAGCCAGCTATCGACACCACAGTGCCGCTCTCGTTCGAGAACAAAGTCAGTTCGTTGCTTGGCTTGCAGTTGCTTTTCTTCACTTCGTTAGCTGGAAACGTTTTCAGATCAACATCGCAAACAATTGCGGTAAAGACGATTTGTGTATACCCGACCTGAAAGTACGAGCAGTGGCGTAAGTTGATATATCGCTACCCGTTTGAAATTTATGCGAAACCCGTTTCTATCTAAAGCTTATCAAAGGCTCATTCTCCTGTTCCTATAGTGATCGTGAGAAATTCCTTCTCGGTACAAAGGACAATACACTTCTCGTCAATGTCACAGTGCAGAATGGAGGAGAAGACTCATATGAAACGAAGCTCTTTTTCGATGTGCCTAAAGGATTCGAATATAGCGGAGTTGTGTCTACTGATGAAAAGGTTTTGTTGATGTATTTTTCCAAAATTTACGAATGGCAGTACTCAAAAAAGTCCTCAGAAGCAACAAAACCAACCTTGTGAATTGTGGGCCATATGTACAACTTCGATGTACTGTTTCCGTTTAGGTAGAAAGTTCAAGTTTTGGCCAGGTAAAACTTGTTGTGGTCATGACGAGCAGCATGTCGATCCCTCCCAACGGTTTGCAGCCTCATCGTGGCTGGGAGGTGTTTCTGGGTGTCGGGCTGCGATCTACAGCGGGGTATTCATCTCCCTAACAGGGTCTCTCAAACTGAGAAGGAATCCGACGTTTCCACCAGAAGACCAACTAGGAGTAAACTAGTACCACAACGCACCATCTTCCTCGTATCAAACTAGTCGGAATCTCCCTCTAATCCACAGGGGCGGCGACTGCCTGTGGTGGTGACGACCTGGCCAGACTGGCCAGGCTGACTTCGGTACACCAAGGAAACACAGTGGTTAAACCAGCAAAACTCCGAAAAATGGAGATTATGCTGGGACTCGCACAACCAGCGAGTACGGGCCGTCTAAGCATCCAAGTATCCAAGCATGTCGATCACATCGAACCTGAAAAGATGTCTTAATATTGCACTGTTTTTCTACAAAAAAAAAACGTTGCCTGATTTTCAGATATTCAAAAGTTTAAACAGTTAAACAGCATGTCTCCGATATTCCACTTTTGAGAGAGAGTGCAGCATTGCTTTGTTCGATCACGGCATTGCGCTCGCAAATCATCAAACCTTTTTTTCAGGCGCATCAAGCGATACACATTTGTGGGTCCTTCCACAAAGACTGTGGGATTACCGTTTTACTCTTGGTTTGAAATATACTCTCAGCAACTCCTTACTCATGTTAGAGATGTGCTATGAGGATGTTAATTGGAGAAGGGAAGCGTGTTTAGCACGCTTCAGAACTTTGAGGAGGAACTTGTACATTCTAGTCCAGCCTTTCTAGATGTAGCATACATGTAGGGAATGGAATTAGTCCAAAACATTTCCTGTCTATAATGGTGAGGACTTTTACGACTTCGCAATAAGTTGCGTCTTTATGTCGATTCAGCGGTAAACAAACGAATAAGGCCCGGTATCAGTAAAAATCACATCAATGTGAACCATCCTGGTGTCAGTTCTAATTTCAGGTGCTGCCGCTTCTTCCATCTGAAGAGCGAGTCCGTTTTAAGGAATGGGCCGTGGATTGGCTCCCAGCAAAGTATATTCGTTTGAAGCATCTTTCCCGAGACTCTATACTCGCTGTCCCTCTTAGCAATATTTATTATGCTTCTAAAAACTCTGTAGGGGATATCCATCATTTTTAACTTTTTTTTGCAACGGGTTCTTAAAGAAATTTTAGTTGGCGTTTATTGTCTATGCAAAATACAACGCTGGAGATAATGTTGGTAACCTTCTTCTAACGTAAACATAGGAGACGTCGTTATAATACTGTATTATAACTGCGCAGATGAGAGTCCAACAAACACTATCTCATCGGTATCTCGTCCTTTTCCAGGTCCAGTTGGTTTCATAGCTGTCGTCTGGAATTTAATATGAACTACGTTGTCTGCATGTGCTTGAACCTTGGAATCTGACGAAGGCGTTCTTGTATTGTTGGAATGGACCATTCTTACTAGTTTTCCTTTCGGTTCAGCATAAACAGGATCCGATAGACTCACATTACTTGTCTTACAGTATTGAGCATGAACGTTTGACGTACTTGTAATGCTAACGCTGGTACTTTATCTATTGGTATGTTTCTCTTCTCCAGAGAGCTAGAAAGATAGTCACAGATTCTTGTAGACTAGAAAATTATCTACAATTTTACTACTGGATTTTGCTGTATATATGATGGCATCAATCCCGGACACAGGCTTACTGTATACCAAGTAATACAAGCGAACAAGAAAATTCTGTAGCCATGAACACTAACGGCAGTGGTTCGGTGATAAATCGCAAATAAAGGGTTTCATTGGACTCGCTGCAATGTAATATCCGAATTTTATTAAACAAATTCTGCTTGCAGACGGCGCCAAGTTGTTCGCCAACCACCGAGAAGCCGGATGAGGATGGACGGTGGACCTTTGCTTGTGAACTTGGTAATCCGCTGCCGCAGCAGAAAACGCTCTCCACTACGGTCCGAATCACGGCCAATGAGAAGGATCCTCCCGTAAAACCGATTGAAATACGAGCTTTCGTGAACAGGTCTCCATACTTCACTGGGTTCAAACTATTTCACACCAAACCTTACGCTACGCTTTAAAGTTTTCAATTTTCTTGGCGACTCTTAGGAACTATACCACTTTCTGTCTGTTTACAGCGTGTGGTACCTTAGATTTAAGCATGCAGTCTTCTGAGTCTCTTCTGAAGACACATTTCTGCTTTTAATTCAACGAGATTGGGGTTTATTGCTGATGACATTAGTAGATATAGAACTAGCTGAGAGACAGGTGAAACGAAGGACGCGAATGGTGTGGTGGTGAACGCGTTAGTCCCGTAAAGGGTAATAGCGCATCCGTTCTTCACCACAAACACCTGCGGTCCGGAGTTTTGCAAATATTTCAGCACCATTGCCATTGAAGTTAGGAGTGTTTTTCGTTAAAGGACAATACCAAACAAGGAAATCTGTCGTTGTAAAAAACGTTTCCAGTTCGAATGAAGAAGTAGAAGACACAGAAAACGACAACTACGTATCGTTCACAATCCCCGTTGACTTCAGAAATCAACTCACTCTCAATGGACGTTCGAACCCTGAACAGGTGAAGCTCAGAAACGTATAATTAGTAATGCTTTCTGTATTGATTTAGGCAGTACCTCACAAGGCAATAAAATTCTTTAGAGGTGTGAACTGAAAGTTTTTGACTACAATTCCGTTCATTAAACAAATGATATTCAGATAGATTTCTCCACGAGAAACAGAACGCCAGAGGATGTTTTCGATGACACTGAGATCGGTCCTGTAGTCAGCCATTTGTATCAGGTGAGATGCATGCCACCATCGGATTTCTATAAAACTCCAAATTTCCTATAGGTATCAAACCGAGGTCCATCAGTTGTTGATGCAGCAACGCTCGACATCTTCTGGCCTTCATTCTCGGCAGACGGCGGACACCTGCTTTACATTATCACTGATCCTGTGATCAGCGACCCATCGAAGGGACGATGTCGAGTCAAGCAAATGCAGAACATTAATCCATTAAATTTAAGAGTAAGCTTTCCATTAAACTATATGAAGAAACTGAATTTCAGAATTCATTTTACAGATAATGAATGAGCATATTCCTACGGATGCTCCTCATCGAATTCACTCAGTGGATTATGATAAAACCGAACACTTGGTAGAAGGTTCCGAAGAGAGACAGGTAAGCTAAAACTAGCTTCGTTTCAACTACTTTTCAGTTAGCTTCCAGTTTCTTCTGCTGTGATTCTCTATGGAATGAGATGAGTGAACAATTGAAGAAGCAAAAGTAATTTTTCCAACAAAGACTGCGAAGACTTGGCCATTCACCTGTGACTTTTAATATCAATAGTCATCAAGTAGATATGCAACATTCATTCCTGTTATGCATCAGAGCCTAACTCGTGATCTCAGATAGCTAACGAAATATGAAAAGTCGCGCTGTGGTGTTTCTTGTGTATAAATCGCCTAACGTTTAGATATATACGACACCATCCCACAGAAGTGGTACTGGTGGAACATGGGAGTTCAAAGAGAAGCCACAAGCACCTGTGGAATACGAGTACATTCCTGATGATGAGTACATTGATGAAGACGAGGACTATGACAGGAAAGGTAGTCGAGTAAAGAGAGAGACGAGGCGAACATTCAAGCAGAATCCAGCGAAACTTAGAAGTGAAGATAGGATTGTACCAGGTAAGCATGACATGTCGAAAAACAGCCTTCGCTTAAGGCAGAAGCTGTTGCAGAGAAAGCTCGTTTCTCGGATCTTCGTCAAGCAGTGAAAGAGTCTAAAGAAGCGGGTGGAGCGATTGACTACCATGGAATACTGAGCAGGGCCACTGTTGATTGCAACTCTCTTAGATGTACACACATTGAGTGCGACCTTTCCAATATCGGAGAAGACGAATTCGTCCTTATTGAGGTAGGTGTGCGGCCGGATGCTTATCATCAATTTCGACTTTACACCATTTTTAATTCAGATTTTCTCTCGGCTGTATACCAACACTCTGGTCGATGAACGAAATCCGGGAGGTGAAATTTCGTCATTGGCACTTGCAAGAGTCACGACTTCAAAACTCAACCTACCACATAAACCTACTCTTGTTATAGCGGTAAGATACACTTCTATAACGTAACGCCGCTTTCATTACGAGAACAGACATAAATGATCTTGTGGAACTTTTCGGCTTCAGGTGACAACCTCTTTGAATGCTGTTGATGGCGAAGCATCCGCCGCTGGCGTTCCATGGTGGCTCTACTTACTTGCTATTCTAATTGGACTTGTACTTCTTGCACTACTCATACTTCTGTTATGGAGGGTGATTTTTATTCGTTCCTAGAAACAAATTTCCTAAAACCTGCAAATTTATAATCAAAATCATTCAGTGTGGTTTCTTCAAACGAAACCGTCCGCATGCAGAAAAGGCACAACGTACTGAAAATCGAGATCCAGATGGACATTACGCAGACACGAAGACGCGCTATGCTGGTCTGGACACCTATAATCAACAGAGTCATGGCCAAATGCTCTAATATCCAAAGTAACCGACAAGATCCTAACATATTCATACCTCCTGCGATATTTTTGTAAATACCTTGAAGCAATAGTTATATATATCGACTTATCGAGTCAATAGATCAAGAGCAACCGAATAACCTAAAGCACTTCGGGTTCTTTTAATATAACCTATTCTCAAGCGGATTAATGATTTGATTGCTTCCAGCTCCTTTTAATTCACGTCTCTAGCTTGCACAAATTTACTGTCATATGATGACAATATATTTGCGCAAGATTCCTCATGTGATAATGTTTCCATACTTTCATCTTCGTATTTGTTCTCTTGAACTACCTTGTCTCCTAGGTACCAGTGAAGAGCTCAACAAGAGCTTAACAGTCAATCTTTCGGTGATGAGTTCGATAACCTTTACTACCAGCAGCATGGCAGACCTTTATACTAATTTTAGTGCCTTAGATTTGTGCTAATCAACTCATTCACCGCTCAACTTTATTTACAGTGCTTTAATGAATACATAGTCGTGAAAAAAACCCTTAATAAAAAGCGTTACACCATACGTAAGTGTGAAAGAATAAAAAAGAGAAGAATAAAGGCTTCTATTCAGCAAATAAAGCCGTAGGCAGTGGATAGCCACCTCGCAAAAGCATGTATACCACTGTATAAACATTGAAGCAATAGATTTATAACCTAAGTCATTCTTGCCTTTTTCCGTCTCACAAATTCAACGAGCTCTTTGAGCCGTTCTTGGCACTGTTCCTTTGACTTCGTTGGTACAGCTGCACTGATTCTATCCCATCTGAAAATGTATAAATTCATTTTATTTATACGAGCGATTTGAACTAGTTGGACTTCACCTATTGTCACAGCCTTTGGGATATTGCTGAAGGGCGGCCTCCAATTGCTTCTGTTCGGTTTGTGACCATTCCGTAGTCAACTGATTTACTGGTAGGCGTGACTGACGTAATATACAAGTGCAACAATTTTTACTAATACTACATCACAAGGCGGACAAGCAGGAGTAAAACATGATTTTGCGTTGTAAGAAGTTAATAAACGAAAACAATAATGATAGATTTTGTACTAACACAAATTTCGACTACTCACCCTATCGGCAAAGGAGAACTCAAGAGATTTTCCATTCCGAATATCGAAGACTGCATTTGACTGTTGACCCATTGCCAGTTTTGCAAAGTCTTCCTTAAAAGATATTCGCCATAGGGCCGCTCGAAGAAATTTGAAACTAAATATCAAGTTGAAATTGGAGCAGTATACAAACTATTATACTTCTACCATCGAGCTCGTTTTGCAGTTATAAGCTTGACATCCCGTAGGGTGCAGTCCCTAACAACCCTTGCCCACCCGATGTCGTTCATATGCACTACGTGTCCTGCTCAAATTATCTTTGACAGTTTGGCGTATAGGACGAGTCCTCCGGTTTTTGATCGTTGACGCAGGTCGGAACTTCGAGTCTCTTCCCTCACTTGCATGATAGGGGAGACTCCCAGCATCGTCCTTCCGACTGTAGCTTCTATAACGCTAAGTGACTTTTCACTGTGCTTATGCTGCGACCAGGTTTCTGACGCAAACGTTAAGACAGGAAGATTTGTGGAGTCAGGAAGGTGGGCAAAAAGTTGAATGTTCTTTGCTCTCCTCACTACATCCGATGGTCTTGAAATCTCCCCAAGCCGCTCGCTTCCTTCTGCTCAACTCTGGAGCTATGTTGTTCATCATGTTTAATTCTCAACTCAGATAGACGTAGCATCCACAGATATTCATTTCGTTGAACATGAATAGGGCATACGAAACCAATCCGTTCCTCATGAACATCGTTTTTGTGAGATTTAGCCGAAGACCAATCTTTCAACAGGCTTTGTCAAAATCGGCAATCATACGTTCCGCTTGGCTAATGTTTGGTGTTATATGGACGATGTCATCAGCTAATCGAAGATGACGTAACTGTCGACCATCGATTGTCACTCCCATGTTATCTCAATTCCAATGTTCGCACGACGTTTTGGAGGGTGGCAGTAAATAACTTTGGCGAGATGGTATCGCCTTGCCTAACCACTCTTTTGACGTCAATGTTAATATCGTTGTAGAATGGTGATACCTTGGTTGTGAAATTTTTGTACAGCTCACGAAGATTCTTTATGTACTGAGTAGGAACTCCTTGACTATCAAGACCTTCCCAGACTGCTTCCATCTCAACTGAATTAAAGGCCTTCTGTAAATCGATGAAAGTGAGACAGAGCGGTGTTTTGTACTCTCGCGATACTTCAATGAGCCGTGTTACCGTGTGGATGTGGTCCATCGTACTGAATCCTCTTCGAAACCCTGCTTGCTCACATGGCTGTCCTTCGTCTAGTGTTCTGTCAATCCTGTTTAGGATGACTCGAGTGAAAGGTTGGTAGAGGACAGATAGCAAGCAGATCGGGCGACAGTTACCGGTACTGTACAGGTCACTCTTCTTGAACAACAGCACGGTCTTGCTGGTCTTCCACTGACTAGGGACCTTGCATTCAGAGAGGTAACTTATGAAGAGCAGAGCCAGGTACTGGCTAAAGGTTCTTCAGGTGTACAGCTTTTACCCTGTCCGTACCTGGCGTTATTCGATTTTTCGCCCACGAAATAGCATATCGGATTCCTGATGAGAGAACCAGTGGTACGACATAGATTCGAGCAATAATCGCGAATGATTTTCTTGAATGCCCTTCTGAAAACTGTACTTGATTCGTCTGGGTGTCACAGTGGAATCGTCGTGGTGTTGTAATTGGCGAAGCTTCTGTAGGCTTTGAGAATGCTTGTCCCAACACTTGCGGCTTCGGCCATAACTGCTGTTTTTCACCCCTTAAGATCTTCTTTTGTCGCCTGTTTGCCTTGTTTTTCTAATTCAAAAATGAGCCTGTAGCTCGTGCGATTCAGCGCTAGTGAATCAACGATGTTTCTGGAGACAGACGTCTCTTGTTGGCTTTCGAACTTTCACCTTTCAAATCGCTAATCTGAAGATGTTGAAAGAGCCGATCGTATGCCTTATCGGTGTTATCAAAAACGGTAACTCAACAGCCGACCAATGAACTGAATAAATCCCAATCGATTGTGGTTTGGAACCTCGTTTTTCAAATTGAGCGGCTTTTTCTCCTTTCCGCGAGAAACAGAATCTAGCACGAAGGAGACGATGGTCTGATCCCGTGTAGAAATTTGGGATAACAGCTACATAGGTTAGGCAAAACCTTCTATTTGCTGTGATGTGGTCTATTTCGTTCTAGTACTCTCCGTCTAGAGACTCCCACGCCCAGTGTTCAGAGTGGTGCTTCTGGAATTGCGAGTTTCAATGAATGATCTTGACCGTCATGATTAACTCTTCTCCGATGTCACTGATGGTGTTGAAATGACGACGTCTTCTCGTCACAGCCAGTCCGATGACGTCATACCTTATCCTTCTCACCCGCACGAACAAGTCCTCTATTCGGGATTCAGTTACAAGCTAACGTGCATTGTAGGTACGAATCGTCGCCTTAGTCAATCGAAATTTAGACAACCTAGAATGGTACTAAGATTTTAGCAGTCTCTCCATACTTGTCCTACCCAACACTGCCGTATCGGGGCTCTTTGGAGGTCAGAGGAATGTGGCGCACTTATTTTACTGGACGAATAGCTTGCCAGTTTCTTTTAGAGCAGGCGGGGTGCTACCTGTTAGAGGAGGCTCCAAACCGCCTCGCATATACTTCCCTGCGACTTGGTTGTAGACATTTAACCGAACTGACTCGTTAAATACTTGCTTGGATAATTGTACCGCCCGTCTTCACTGGTTGTGCGTTCCTAACATAATTTCCGTTTTTCTGGAGTTTTGCTGGTCTAGCCATTGTGGTTCCCTGGAGTGTCGAGGTCAGCCAGGTCGAAGTCAGCCCCAGGTCGTTATCACCAGAGACAGTCGCCGCCATTAAGGATCAGAGAAAGATTTGCCGTCATGTGACTAGTTTCATATCAGGACAGTGGTGGATCCTGGGTATAGTTTACTCTTAACCAGGGTTCCCAGTGGAAATGCCGGACTCCTTCTCTGCTTAGATGACTCTGCCAGGGGAGAAGAATCCGCCCGCTGTACATCGCATTGACACTCAGACACTCAGGAACATCTCCCAGCCACGATGAGGCGATAAACCGTTGGGAGGGACTCGTAGAGTACAATCCGCATAAACGAAAACACAGCGACGCACGAGTAAACGGAAACGTCCCCGTAAATGCAGAGGGTAGGTGCTAAATTGGCGCAGTAGAAACAGGGAGTTCTTGCCCTGGACTTACCGGCCTCTCAGAGAAACAAAAGCCGCTTTTGGTATGTGATTAACCTCCTATCTGCAACCTGGGGACGCGCCACGTTGCTTTGCGCCTAACCGGCATGAGATCGCTCATTCATTCGATAACTGACGAAATGATTAATTAATAGTTAAGATGTGGCTTATATTATGTGCAAGTAAAGTATAACACTAAGGGAATATCCAAAAGTCTCACCTGTTTAATCTGTTTCAATTTGGCAGCCATTGCAGTTACGTCTTGCGCAGTTCGATTAAGGACACAAGCTACTCGCTCCCACCGATTTGGTGTGCCCAAAATAATCCACTAAGTGGGAAGTGTTCAAGCGTATATTATAACTAGTTCATGTTGAATCGCTACCTGATGGAAATTTCTCCGTTGTCAATCTGACCAACTGGTATAATTCTTCACACGACCAAATATCGCCACTTTGTTCTTAAAGCATATGTGTTTAATGCACAGACCTTTCTTGTGTAACTTATTTCACAATCCCTAATAACCTATGATCAGCTCAAGCATCAATCCTTGTGAATTCTAAGTGGAAATGAACAAACTTTTACTGTTTTCCTCAGATTCATTACGGTACTTGGCACACAATCCAGGATCGTTGGGGCTGACAGCTTTCAAATCAGTCGCCATTTCGTACGTGAATTCCGGAGATCGAACAACCGGCGTTACTCTACGATTTTCATGCATGTTTTGCTGAACAGGGGATAACTAACGAATCTAAGCCTTAAAGCAATAACAAGGAATACACAGAGACGACAACGTCGCGTCAAATGTATTGAGGTTCCCTGATGGGAGCTGATAAGCGACATGGATACCCACTATTTACAGCACTACTTTATTGTGCAATTTTGATCTTCACAGCATATCCTGAAGCTGAAAAAAGCCTTTACCTCTTGAACGGGTTCTACGGCGGACATGTGCTCTTGTATAACCATCTGAAGCATCTAAAATACCAAACTTTTAGTAAGTCAGTACGATCAAAACATTGACATTAGATGTTTATGTCGAAGAATTCATGGATGGAGACTACTGTGTTATACTTCACCTCAGAAGTTGAACTAGTGTGTCCCTTGCACACAGATGCAATATACTGACTGGATACTTTTCTTGGTATACATTACTAAACATACAGTGAAAAACCTCCATAGTTCCTTGACGACGAGAAACGGCAATAAGGCGCGAAACTGGGGACGGTAAATAGATAAAGCTTCTCTTAGCTGCTGCGAAGATCCTTCATTTTCCTCCCTTTTATCACGCCTCCTCGATTTGCGAAGAGTCTAGGGAATGTTCATAATTGGATATCTTCATATAAAAGATCTGTTCGAATATATATACATACCTGTGATAAGACTAGATACTTCTCGTAGTATGAAGCCCACATCATAAAATAATGAGCTACAGTTGAAACAATAGTGAGAACCAATACAGCTTCATAGCAACTTAACTTTCTCATCTTTCTGAAACCAATCAAAAGACATGGATTCTACAAAAAGAAACCAATGAAAGCTTACCTGTAATAATAAATTGGTTGTCTCCAATCTGGCAAACCATATTTCAAGACGTTGTCGTATTTTGCCCTTAGTTCACTGGATTTTAAGACCTCATAAATGGAAACAATCTGAACCCGACTAATATAGCAGTATGATAACGAGCAAACTAAATATGTGATGCATCTATTTTTTTTTATTTTATATGACCCATCAACACATCTGGTGTGCGGACTCTAGCACTTTTCACATTCGATTAGTTTCCTCTCATCCATTGTTCACGAACATCTTCCAACTTTCATACGTGGCTTTGGCTGCTGCTTGAGGATTTTCATTTCATCTTGAATGTTGTAGAATGCTGGTCGAGTCGATTCTCCCTGGAGTTGTAAGATAGCTGGGCTGGAGCGTTCCTAATTGGGTTGCAGAGAGTGATTTTTTCACGAGCAAGTCCGGTACCAATTTTCCGATCCCCGAGAGATGAGAGGCTCGGTTAGCTCGGCACGGAATCGAACTAGCACCATGTTCGTGATAACTGACTTTACGTTCACTGGATGTATTCATATTTACGATAATCTACGAATCTCGATAAAACTATCAAGCTACTGACTATTGAAACATGCAAAGAATATACTCAGAAGTATGCAAACATATAAAGGTTAACTAGATCGTAAAGCGTACTTGTCTGAACATCGCAGTAGCATTAGGCGCATCGTTTCGATCAGGATGCCACTCCAGACTGAGCTTGCGGTACGCCTTCTTAACTTCTGCCGTAGATGCATCCTAAAATAAATTCAGGCGGGAAAAATAAATACACCAAACTCATTTAAGAACTTGGTATTTTTTACGTTTTTGTCTCGATATACGTAATACTAACTGCAACTAAAAAGTCAGATATGTGGAAGCGAATTTAAGTTTAAGAATCGAAGTTGCTTTTCGAACAATTTTAACATTACGAAAGGGTGGTATTGTTGAAGCCACTGAAAATAAACCTCCAAACGATGTATCACGTAACCATTGCTTACTGCTAGCCAGAACGTTAGAACATAGGGTTTACGGTGATCTCAAATGGATAGAGGATAAAACTCTCGGCGTTGATCAATCCCTGAGGGGTGCACCATGCATTCGACTTCATTAACCATTGTTGGAGGCGATTGAATGCATATTTAGCCTACAATTACAATTTATAATGACTTGCGGTGGTCTACCGATGTCTCGGGCTAGTGGTGCTATCCTCCAAGAAAAGTCTGGCACCAGTTTGCCGACCCAAGAGAGATGGAGGGCTTGGTGGGCCCTGGGCGCAGGGATCGATCCTGTGTGCGCTGCACGGCGCCTCCAACTGCGCTACAAGCGCTCTTGCGGTGAGCTTGCGGCTATGAACTATCACATCAATACAACCTACAACCACATTCAGACATTCAAATTTTCCCTGTCACTAACTCATCTCTTTGTTAACTTCATGAAGTGGTTTAGAAAACACGTTTGGATCATCATATAAAACATTCCCGTTCTACTTAGCGGCAAAGCTGCGTTCACCAAAACTTTGGTTGTTCCACAGAACATGTAGCAATTACAAGGTCCTCTGGACTCTGGAACTGGCACCGTGTGCTATTCATGTTGTCCTGACCAGATCATAAAAAGCTTTGAACAGCCGGTGGGATCCTTGAAAAAAACCTTTAGCTTAACACACTGGTAATCTCAATTGGAGCACCACTGCAACGGCCACATGACCGCCATTGTGTCGAAACATATTAGATCCACAGAAGAACAACCAACACTCGAGACGTGTTCCTCAAGTAGAAGCACAGTTCTGGACTACGCGTGGGAGCTACTCATCCACATTTAAGATACCTAAGCAACTACCTATGGACGACCATGTCATCTTTTTTCCCAGAGAAAACTACCAACTTCTTTTGAGTTGTGGAAAGACTTCACAACTCTACTATTTTAAAAAAAGATAAAGCTCTCGACGTCGACCAGCTCCTTAGGATAAGCCATGCATTCGACATCTTCGACATTAAGCACTGTTGGAGGTGACTGAATGCATATTTGGCCTTTACAATTACTAACGGTGGTCTACCGATGTCTCGAGCTAGTGCTGCTATTCTCCCAGAAAAGTCTGGCACCAATCTGCCGACCACGGAGGAATGGAAGGCTTTGTGAAGCATGGGCGCGTGGATCGATCCCATGTGTATTGCCTGGCGCCTCCGATCACTGCGCCACATGTGCCCCAACTCCACTACTTATACATTAAAAACTTAGTGCCTGTGTATTTTACTTTAAGTGATACCAAAATCACCTTTCCAATACCAAAACTCGAATAACCTCACCTGCCCAATACCGAATAACTCGTAGAAATTCGCGTTCACAGCCTCAACCAAGTCGTACATGGCTAATTCATCGGAACTCCAGGATGGGCTAGCATATCCAGAAGCATCTAGCAAGAAAAAAGCGACAACAATGCAACGCATCCAGCAACCAACCGACCATATCCTGCTTGACATTGCGGATTTTTGCCGACGAATGGAAAACTACGGACGTACGTGCGACCCCTGCATATTGTTCGCGGTGAGTTGCTATTGCTCTGAATAGTTGTCGTGTTTGAGGTGGTTTTCCCCTAGGAGTATGTGTTTCGATTTCTCTCAGGATGATGCTAGACGAGAATGGAGGCGGAATGGCCGGCAATGATCTCCGGACGCTCATTGAGTCCCGCATTCCGGAGCATCGAGCCAACCTGGAGACGAGTCACGTCAATCTCGAGAACGTCGCCGTCTACTGCGAGGCCAGATACCTGAATGCTTCCGTGAGTACATACAGGTTTTTCTGCTTTCTATTCCAAGATGGTTTCCATTTCTCGATGGTTTTCTGAGTTTCGCTCTAAAATCCTCTATCACTTTAGTTGTTACCTCAGTTTTTTAAGTCATGGAAGAGGTTACAGAGAAATCTGGTACCGTTATTTTTAATAGTACATGGTGCTAATGATATGAATGTGCCACTCTGCAGAAGTCTTTTTGCTGTTTTCTTTTAAACTGCTAATTGCTTAGTGAGCTTCGACCGATCGTGACAAAGCTTCTAAGTGAGCTTTTTATCTCTAATGGGTATTGAGGTTGCTTTTGCTTTTTGGAAGACCTAGGAAAGTCCACTTACTGATTGGCTTATGCGGGAATTTTTTGATGGGCTATGTATAGCTTTTCTGAGAGGCATATCTCCCTTGTCAAGTGCTAAAGAGTCAAATTTAAGTACATTAGTTCCTTGGTTTCGTTTCTTACAGTCGTTATAGAGAGTGCACCATGTTCCTTGTTCCTTTCTGTCCAAAATTGTTAGGCGACGATCTTTTCGCAGCGAATTGAACAGTTAGGATAAATCTGTAGGCTCCTTATTGAATGGTAGTATCATTGCAATATCAATCTAGGGTAAGAGTGAATTAAATTTGTCCCTGTTGCATCAGGATCGAAACGCGGCGTTCGAGGAGACGAAGCAGTTCGCATTGCAGTCTCTCGCCAGTGTCGCGTACCAAATAAATACTCTTGCAAGGTGAGTGTGTTTCCTCATTCGTTATTTGCCTTTGTAATATCAATATGACATAGATAAGATGAAGTATGTCTTAATCGAAATCTAATTTCGTGGGGATCATCTTTGAAATGTTACACTGGTAGATCTGTTTGGTTTTTTTCTTAGTTTCTTGAACACTTGGATGCCACATCCTCACTAGTGGTACGCGCCCCAGCATAATTTCGGTTGTTTTCGGATTAGCTACAATAGTTGTTTAATTTATAATTCAGTACAGACGTTCTTTTAAGGTATATTTCCTGAACAAGAGGTTTCAACAAGACGTTGACCTGAGTATTCGTAATCCTGATGCATTTAAACTTTTCTTTTCAAGGAAGTCTTTTCTGTTCAATCAGGAGTTTTTACTGCATATTTTTTCCCAGTGCAGAGGCGAAGATGAGGGCTGTATTTTGAAGGTGAACTACCGCACTATTTCTCGGGAATAAGAATTTTCGACTTATTGCGTTGGGGCTTTCAAAACCGCTTTAAAATCTCTTTGTTTATGCGGCCTCATACACATGAATGCGGACTTTAGAAGAACGTGTCGTATCTCTCAGAGAACTTGAAGCTCACTCCCAAAGAAATTTTGCCCGTAACACTTTTTATACCGTTAATCGGTAGAACTGTAGTTTGATGATTACACTACTCTCTTGCAGATTGTATGTCAACTATTATTGTCTTTTGAAACTGATCAAAGCCGAGAGCTTTATTCTTGATCTTTATTATTGTCTTTTATTCGTCATATAGTAATATCTCTTGTATAATAGCATAGTGTTCGGTTTCATTCTTAAGCGCTTTAATTTTCAGAGACCTTTTGGACATGTTGGATCTACAAACCGATAAGATTTCAAATCTTACCGCTCAAGTGGAGAACATCGATGTGGTATGATTTATCTGCAATTACTTAAAGTTCGTGTAATTGTTTATATCTTGTATGTCCATGGACGTGCCCAAAGATCCAGAGAGATCAATCACCTTTTGTTGTTAACTGCAATGGAAATATGAACCTCCATCAATAGAATCTCGACACCCGGCCTAGGATTCCAAAAGACAACGACCTTGCCATACATCTTTTCGTCTATTTTGCCTCTACTTTGTATGCTGTTACTCCGGGGTTACTTCTTTAGCTTTTACACTCATTTTTGTCTTATATGTGTTCTGTCGTTCTCCTAGTCTGTGGAACAGGGCTTCTGTTAACCAGTCTTAATGTGCTGCCATTGTTAGACATACAAATATGCGAATACTTGTTCATGAAATAGATATGTCGGTAATATTATTAATTTCTCCTATTTATTTAGGTTGTTAATATTCATAAAGAAAAGCTTTCACGACGAGAGATTGGCGCACTTACAACAAATAAGTCGATTCAGAAACAACCTAAGATTATTGCACCTGCTATTCAGGTGAGATATTGTGCTTGTAACACATTCACATCGCTACGTATTGCCTTGGAGGCCCATATGGCGAAAAGTAAACTGCGTGTATTTTGATTTAAGTGGACTCCATTTACGGTTTTTCATTTATGCTTTACAAATAATGTTGTTCTTCGAACAGGTTTGCTCGTCCTGTTGAGCCCCGCGGCGATAGGTTATCACAGAGGTTATCGCTGAGGAGCGTACATGTTCATTAGATGTCTAGATATAAATCTATGTACTTATTGAGTACTCGAACGGTCCGTCTTCACGAGTCGTGCGGACGCCAGTACATTTGCCATTCGTTTCTTTCCATCGCAATAGCATACATGCTTTGCATCCACTTTTTATGACCATTGTTAAAACACGAATGCGGAAATGTTTCATACACTGATTGCATCTGGAGATAATCTGCTTGTAATATTTAGTTTATCTGGAATGACGATATTCTGAGATTTCAGCATAATAATCAACGCCTCCTTTTTATTATACTTGACTTTGAGGATAATTGAAGTGCGTTTGATTCTCTAATTCAGCGACTTTCTGCTTATTCTCACTGAAGTACCTGCGCGGTGTGGTGGTGAACGCATTAGCCCTCGAAAAGGGTAATAGCGCGTTCGTTCTTCACCGCAGACATCTGTGTCCCGGAGTTTTGCAAATATCTCAGCATCATTATTCTCACTATAGATGGTCCATGTCTTGAACAAGTACGTCTGACTGGATAGGGTTTCGAAAACTTGCGCATCTATACGAATTCATAGAAAAGTGTTGTACTTGTTCGTTTCCTTTGACGTTGTCATCGTTCTGGTTTCTGTGAAATGGCCTGTTTGAGAAGTCCTGTGTTCTTACTGTACATCCCGATCAAATGTGCCTTGCTCTGGAGATTTTCAGCAAACTGTTAGTGAGCTGCTCGCTTACTAAATATAGCTGTAGAGATCCCTTCGAATCATTCATAGGGCTCGTCACCACCGATTCATCCACCAACTCTTTTTTAAGAAATCTCTACCGGCATACATCGTATTCTATGTTTAACCACCTCTCCTAAACAGCTTGAATAATTTGATATCGTGCTTGCACATCTTGTGTGAGGTATATTGGCGGGTTGCGAATCACCTTCTAAACGATAGAGGGATTTCTTCAGCAAGGCTTTACCCAGGTTTCTTTAAACTTATTTTATAGTCTGCGTTGTTACGTCCAATAGATTTTTTTGCTTAGCGTAATTCATTCCCACTGGAAATTGATAGAAAATGGAGTTCACTTCATCTTCACCTGACATGATAAAAGCCCACGAACTTGATTGAGCTTTCTTTCAGTTGTACTGATGGATCAGGATTATAATATGCAATGGATGGATTTAAATAGTGTATAAGATTGTTGAAATCTATGCTTTAACTGACACCATTGTTGTTGGATAACGGGATAGACAATGTCATAACGCTCGGGTGATGAAAATTTTTATAAAAAACCTAAAAGTGTTGAGAAATGCGCAGAACAGAAGAACATAGAATTGAGAGGAAAAATAGTACAGGAGAAACTAAATTATAGAATGCACGAATAGAGGATTTGGTCTTTTTTCTGGGCAGCAACGAGTCGCGTGCAATGATTTCAATGCGCACAACACGCGGCGGAAATTTAGGCATAATCCGATGTCGTAGCCAGCGAACTAGGCGGGGTCGTAGTTGTTTAGTATTCACACTCTGGATAGAGTTTCATGCTGTTATCCAAAAACATGGAGATTGGTTTGTATGCTTACAGGAGCCAGTGCTGCGATACAAACGTACTGCTATAGATTTCTCAGTTTTGGATGAAGTAGGACACGGAGTTCGTTCTGAGGTTGAGCTATTCTGTCGTCTGCTTTGTATCAATCATGAAGACATATTTCATCTAGAAGCAGTTAATTCCAGGTTGCCCAATATCGTGGCGGTGTCGTTTCACGTGCTGCATCGAGCGTTTCTGGCTCACATCCATGCTCCGTGCATTATTCTCAATATGAACGTACGGCAAACATTGGAACGAACACGGTTGTTTATTTGGCAAATTATATATGGTGTAGTAAGTAGTATTTAAACCTGTGGGTTGGCCATCGTTTCGGTTTTTGTGGGTGGAAACCTCACGTTGGCTTTTTAAGACGTAACGTTTGAACGTTGGAACACCATATTGTATAAAAATTGGTTTTTATTTTTAGTTAGGACGCTCTTCTATACGTAGTGGCCACATTTCGATGACATCGTCCGAACACTATAGGGTACCGATAGTACGTTCTTCTTTCTTATTTGTCTTTGTTTCACTAAAATTTTAAGCCATAGCTCGGTTTGCATTGGAAGCTTATTAGATTGTTACGATATTTGAGGTGTGAAGATTACTTATTCGCATTTTCGTTGTCTAGTTGAATTTAAATGTTTACTCATCTAAGTATTTCAAAGTATTTGAAAGCACCTATTCATCTCCTCGAATTCAACAGGTAATGCCATTGATGGATCACCAGAGATACATGCATGTTGCTCCTGTTTCGCAGCAGCAATCTGTCATGGAATATGGTGCGCATCAATTTGGTGGGCGGGGCAAAGATGGAAATCAGGATGGAGCATTAGGATTTGGGACAAACAGCATGCACGATAATTATGGTGAGACGATTTACCAATGAAAATCTCTCAAACAGTCAAATCTGCAGAAAAATACGGTAAATACGTTGGAACACCCAGTCCTTTACGGGGAGGAGAGATCGCCTTGGTAAAAGAGGAAGATAACGTAGTGTAGTTGAGACCATACGGACGGATGGTTTTAGGTATTTCGAATTGTGCTTAAGTTTCTTCTTCGTTGTCTTCGTAGTGGCTCTCACACTGGTAACTCAACTTTGGTTGAATATTTTAGCAGTAGGGATTGTTTTGATATTCCTTGACAACATTAATAACTCGACATGTGAAGTATCTGTATATGTGGTTTTTTTCAGTGTTTTACTATAGGCTCAGGCTAGGGCGAGGAGGAGTCGAGGAGTGGAAACTTAAAATTTCGGACGAAATCAATTTTTTAGTTGGGTTAAGAATTACTTACGTATAGTGTTATGTTTTAAAACCGTGAAGTAGAAGTCAGTCATGTTTAGATTGAGACATAGAAGCTGACTGTTTAATGGTGAAGGCGATAAAAGTTATCAAAATTTAATTCGGCTTTAGCATTTTATAACTGTTATCTTCTTTTCCCTTTTCTCTGCCGAACCACTCATCTTGGTACCTTTTTGATGGGACAATCAATTTATTGCCAAGTATACGCTTCTATGAACAGCTAATTTTGTCTATCAAACAAACTTGAAGCATTTTGTTCAGGAACGTTGAGGCTTCATCAGGCCCATGTCACGCGGACGTCCATGGTTGGCAGTGGTGGTGTCAGGAACGAGGACAGAGCGGATTCACCTGGATTTCCGCTACCACCCCCTCAACTCAGTTCCCATTACGGCTATGTTGGAATGACAAGATCGGAAGGTATGTTCTTTCTGTACCTTCTGATCTAATTCTTGTGTCTTTGACGCACATGTTTTATGGTTTTTCTATTAATGTCTCTACCGAGCACTTCGATTTCGTGCCGATCAGTTGTTGATGTTTGGCAGATTTCCCTCCACCAGCAATGCAAATGCTCAATTCTACTCACGAAGATGACCCTCTTCCACCTCCACCGAATTCACATGAAAATTTTTTTGACGCGAATGCAGACTGGGTACCACAAAGTTACATCGAGAAAGGTGAAATGTTTTCGTTTTCACAACTTCTGAAGAGAAGAATATTATGTCTAAAAATGAATAGTAATCTCAACTTTGTTAGATCTGTAAACTTATTTTTGGAACCTTCACTATCGTTGTTACGAATTGTCACCGTGGCATATTACGCAGTGATTAGAGGTGCTGTGCACTATAAAGACAAGAATCTGTCGCTACTTCAGTCCGGAGCCAGCCACTTACTCACCAAGCACTCAATCCTGCAGCATCGCTAAACTGGTGTCAGCTTTGTCTTGGAGGACATGATTGCTGACTATCTGTAGGCCCCAAAAATCATTGTATAAGCCAGATACACAAATAATCACATGTTACGATGGTTGCCTCCCAACGGTTTACCACGTTATCGTGGCTGGGAGGTGTTTCTGGGTGTCGGGCTGCGATGGACAGCTAGGGGATTCATTACCCTGGAAGGGTCTCCCAAGCTAAGAAGGAGTGCGGCAAAAAAACAAAGATTTTACCAGCCGTAGTTGCACAGTATTAAGATTGCAATCTCACGCAGTATTACTTACCTGAAATCGTCGATTGATTTGGTATCCTGTTCTCACAAAAACTTTACTAGTAATAATATTGCATGCTTTTTTCACTAAATATGAGCTCTGGAACTTGTCACTGCGTTCCAAGTGAGCTCACATGCGATTGTTCACGTTGGTGTCACTGAGAATGACTTTCCAACTCATTCCACCGCTGCTTTGAGGTATTGAACCAGTCATATTTGCGCACCTCCCAACGGTTTAAAACCTCATTGTAGCTGGTATGTGTTCCTGGTGCCGGGCTGAAATGTACAGCGGCGTGATTTGTCTCCCCGGCACGATCTCCCAGGCTGAGGAGTCCGGCGTTTCCATCAGGAAGCCTAGCTAGAAGTAAACCAATACCAGGATCCGCTACCGTCCTGGTATCAAATTAGTCGCATGGTGGCAAATCACCCTCAGATCCACAAGAGCCGCGATTGTCTGTGGTGATGAAGACCTAGGCACACTTTGGCCAGGCTGACGTCAGGATTCCAGGGTACCACAATGGCTTAACCAGCGAAACTCTTGAAAAACTGAAATCATACTGGGGTCTGCACAACCAGTGAAGACGGGCCATCCAAGTATTAAGTTAGTTACGATGGTTGACGAATTCTTGGAGGATCCTTCAGCGATTGGTAAGTACCTGACACTTTGCCCTTTATAGTCACTGTTGCAAAAATAGTCTAGCTACAATAATTCCCCCATTATGGTAGATTGCGCTTCTTTGCGATTACAGGTCTGTTGTTTCATTCTATGTAAACTCAGTTTTTTACCTTAATATAAATGAATCTTTTCTTACTCGTATTGAAGTCAGTTTGCCTTTTTATAGTCATTGCCTATGACCATTACTACAGTTTCTTTTTTGATTTTTTTTACTCGTTTGTCAGTTTATCGCATTTAGCTATCGCTCTATATGACTACGACGCTGACAAACCAGATGAATTATCCTTGCGAGAGAACTGTATTGTATATGTACTGAGGAAAAATGAGGACGGCTGGTTTGAAGGAGTGTTGGATGGAGTGACAGGGCTTTTCCCGGGAAACTACGTCCAAGCGGTTTGACCTTACTGCAGGATTTCGAATGTGTAAATAGGTAGTTTAGTAAGTAGTATCCATTTCAATAATGTTATTACCAGTCTTATTATGATGCGAAGATTCTTATTTGATACAAGCCTTTAGAACCCCACATAAAAGTCTGTAGAACGGTTGCCTGATGTTGCGTTTTATCACTTTGACTATCATCTCTTCACGGGTGTAGACTCGCTGGAATTTTAAATATATTTTTGTTCACTAATTTACGTATAGAGCGTGATAAATATATTTTTCATAGATCCATATGCATGTGGTACACACGATTTTCTGAGTAAAGTCTTCCTTGTTGAATGATTTCTTTTTCTTTTTGGGTTTTGCAATTGACTTTATATAACAAAGGAATAGCTTCACTATTTGTTTGAGAGAGAAATTCACTTAGTGTCGGCAGGAAGGGATTCTCCTTCATAAACGTCAGAAAGCCAGTAGCTAAACTGCTGAAAAAATTTGAAAGGATAATTTTCATTGATAGTCAAAATGTATTTAGACGGTTGAGTGTCACTTGCTTCTCACGCGAAGTGACTTTATCCCTTTTTATGTTCATTTCTTGTTTTTTAGCGTCACGACGAGCTTGGAATTTACTGATTGTATGACATATACCCTGGTTAAAAGTTGTGTACCCCTCCGTTTTCCTGTTTTAGCTAGCCTTTACATAAAATAAGTATAAGTAGGTATAAATAAGTAAGTATAAGTACGTAAAAGCCGAAATTGAGTCCTTTGCACCGCCGCTTTTCTGTTCTAGTCAAACAAACTCTTCACGATTATAATGGAGATTTTAAGTATTCGCAGGAATCAGAACAAGGTCATACACAACTTTTTACGATAGCTAATGGTGTAATTTTTATGTAGATTTTTGCCACCATTAAGATCGATATCTTCTTGAATTAGTAAGCTAACACAAATCTGATGAAGAAGATTTATTCCGCTAACGTTTCGACGTCTTCATTTTCTGCAGAGCCGGTTTGATCCAAGTCAATAATCCATCCACTGTTGGTCGTCATTGCGATTTGAGTGTGCGTTGTGTCATGTTGTCGAATCCGTGTTGAACTGAAGCACTACTCGAATGAGAATCTTACTCAGCGTTGTCGTCTTTTACAGGACAGATGTCGGTCTATTGCCCTATTCCAAAATGGTCTGCTTTTTGGAGGAAGTACATTCCGCATCAGTCGGTATTAGTTAGAACATAGCGATAGTCCCTAATGATACTGATTTCCATGTACTAGCTATTATAGCACCGACTGCTCTAAGATATATATCCGCAAAAAAGGAGATCATATTGGACGACGGCAATAGATCAACGTCCGTCCTGTTCAAAAGGACACCGCTGAGTGAACTTCTCCATTGGAACGGTACTCCTTCCACTGGGTTCGACTCGATACGACAATGAACACATAAATCGCGGCGGCGACCGCCTGTGGACCATTGACTGGAATCAGCCTGGCTCTGAAGAAGACGAAGGCGCCAAAGCACTAGCCAAATAAGCTTTTTTTTATTAGCCTCGTATCGGCTTAGTAATCCAAGAATACTGATTATTAATGCCGATGTAAAAAGGGTGCGTGTGACGCAGTGGTTGGAGGCCCCACTGCTGCACACACGTGGAGTCGATCACTCGTCCATGGGCCACCAAGCCTTCCATCCACCCGGGGTCGGCACATTGGTACCAGACTTGTCTGGGAGGATAGACTGGCTCGATACATCAGTAGGCCACCACGAGTCATTGTAAAGGCCATATATACATTCAATCACCAACAATACTTAATGAATTCGAATGCATGGGGCATCCCTCAGGGATTGATCAACGCTGAGAGCTTTATCCTTTATCCTAATGCCGATGTTAAATTACGGTCGCTTTGAAAAATAGGCATTGTAATTGATGTCATCGGAGAATATAGATTACAGATCTCATTCTTCACTCAGTCAACCATAAGCTTCCTGTATGCTGCGTTTCTTCGAGAGCGCATGTAGTGCAGTGGTTATAGGTGCACTGCAATACACATTGGTTCGATCTCGGACCCCAGGCTCAGGAAGTCTACCATCCCTCTGGGATCAGCAAATTGCTACCAGATTTGTCCGGGAGGGTAGCAGTACTGATTCGATACATCGGTAGGCAACCGCGAGTCATTGTGATGGCCAGATATGCATTCAATCAGCTCCAAACGATGCTTAATGAAGTCGAATGCTTGGCGGATTTTTCAGGGATTGATCAACGCTGTAAGATTTATACTTTTGTCATTATACTGCGCTTCAAACTTGATGGTTCTCTGATCATCTTTGTTTAAAAGTGAATCATCGGAAAGGTTATCACCTGTACTACCTATAGTCCCGTTGAGCGTCGAGTGACTCGAGCGGGCACCAGTAAATCTTCCATTTTTCCTTGTCGCGTGCAAGAGTAACCCAATGGGTTCTGCTCGCTCTAGGGACTCGTCGAGCATGATATCTTTCTTCTTGGCTTTTCGTGAAGAACTCTGACCACCGAGTCGGTGGTCTTCCTGCAGTGCGTTTAACATCCCGAGGAATCCAATCACTAACCGCTCTTGTCCATCGGTTGCCATTCATACACATTACGTGTCCGACCCACGTTATGCTCGACTGTTTGGTGTACAGAACGGCATCTTTGATTTTTATCGTTGACTCAGGTCACAGCTTCGGATCCCATTCTTTACCTGTGTAGAACGGGGTACTCCTAGCATCATCCTTTCGACTGCGCGTTCGATAACGCTGAGTGACCTTTCATCCTGTTTACGCAGCGACCAGGTTTCTGACGCATACGTTAGGGCAGGGAGTACCGTTGAGTCGAAAGGGTGGGCACGGAGTCGGGTGTTGTTTGTTCTCTTCACTACATCCTCGATGCTTTTGAAAACTCCCCAGTCCGCTCGTTTCTTTCTGCTCAACTCTGGAGCTAAGTCGTTCATCATATTGATTTCTCGACCTAGATAGACATGACTGGAGCATTCGGAGATATTCGTTCCGTTGAGCGTGAATGGGGCACACGAAACCAATCCGTTCCTCATGAACATCGTTTTTGTGAGATTTAGTCGGAAAATAATCTTTCCACAGGCTTTATCAAAGTCGAGAAGCTTACGTTCCGCTTGGCTAATGTTTGGTGTTATAAGGACGGTGTCATCAGCAAAACAAATATGCTGTAATTGCTGGCCATCGATTTTATTCCCATTCCAATGTTCGCATAACGTGCTGGAAAGCGGCTGTAAATAGTTTTGGCGAGATGGTATCACCTTGCCTAACCCCTCTTTTGACGACGATGTTAATATCGTTGTAGAATGGTGATATCTTGGTTGTGAAATTTTTGTACAGCTCACGAAGAATCTCTATGCACTGAATAGGGATTCCTTGACTACCAAGGGCTTCCATGACTGCTTTTATCTCAATTGAGTCAAAGGCCTTTTGTAAATCGGTTAAAGCGAAACAGCGCGGTCTCTTGTACTATCGCGATACTTCATTGAGTCTTGTTATCGTGTGATAAATCCTCTTAGAAACCCTGCTTGTTCACATATCTGTCCTTCGTCCAGCGCTCTGTCAATTCTGTTTAGGATGACTCGATTGAAAAATTTGCATACGACAGACAGCAAGCAGATTGGGCGATAGTTGCTGATATCCTGGAGATGGCCCTTCTTGAGCAGCAGCATGATTTTACTGGGCTTCTATTGAGTAGGGACCTTGCATTCAGACATGTAGCTTATGAAGAGCCGAGCCAGTGTGTTTACGAGAACTGGTGGAAGGATCTTTAGGTGTTCTGATCTTATCCTGTCCGGACGTGGTGCTGTTCGATTTTTCACCCGGGAAATGTTACGTCGGATTTGAAAGGGAGAGCCGGTGGTGCAAAACATCCATCCTCCTTTATTTCATATGACGGAAGGTAGACGTGGCTATCGAAGAGATCTGAGTAGTATTCGTGAACGATTTTCTCTATTGCTCTTCTTGACTCTGTAACTGTTCCGTCTGGACCTCGGAGTGCAATCATCTTGGTCTTGTAACAAACGAAGCTTCAGTAGGCTTTACGAATGCTTTTCCCAGCGTCTACAGCTTCGATCATTACTGCTGCTCTTCTCTCTTTAAGATCTTCTTTTATCGTCTGTCTGCATTGCTTTGCAAATTCGGACGTTGGTTCGCGGTTGCCTACAGCTCGTGCGATTCTACGCTGGCGTATCAGCTCGAGTGTTTCTGGGGAGAGACGTCTCTTGGTGACTTTCCAACGCTCAGCTTTCATAGCGCTAACGTGAAGATGTTGAATGAGTCGATCGCATTCTTCGTCGATGTTATCGACAACGGCATCTCTCCAACACCTGACTAATGAATTGAATAAATCCCAGTTTACGGAGGTTCTGGGACTTCGGTTTTTTAATTTAGCGGCTTTTTCTCCTTTCCTCGAGATATAGAGTCGTGCATGAAGGAGACGGTGATCCGATACCGTGTAGAATTTTGGGACAACAGCTATATCGGTTAGGCAAAGCCTTCTATTTGCTGTAATGCGGTTTATTTCGTTATGGTACTCTCCATTGGGAGACTCACACGTCCAGCGTTGAGGTTGCGGCTTCTCGAATTACGCATTGCCATGGATGGTCTTGGTCGTCATGATAAACTCAGACAGCTGCTCAACCTGTTCGTTCCATTCTAATCCGTGGGTCCCAATGTGACGTTCCTCAGACGTTTTTCTTGGTCCAATCTTGGCTTTGAAATCTCCAATGATAGCCTTGAAGAATGTGTGGTCTTCTCTGTAGAACTTTTTCAAGTCCATATAGAACGCCTTAACTTCTTCTTCGTCGTAGTTTAATGTCGGCGCGTAAACAACGAAGATAGTCAGAACTGGAATTGATCCACGTCTTCTTAATCGTAAATGTTCCACTCGGGTTATAAGTTGTTCGAATGAATCGATGTTCATGGACAAACTCGTGTTAACGAGAACGCCAGAACTCTACAGTCGCATGTTCCGAGGAACAGCCCTTCTCCTGTGTCAT